GAGACATGGATTATTTTTGTCATATGTTTAGGTGATTGCATTGTTGCAATTTGAAGTCAATACAAAAATAATAATTATTAAAATGTATTGTTTATTTTGAAAATAGTGCTTATGGATATTACAAATTTAAACTGAACAACAGCTCTGCAGTAAAGCTAAGGAAATAATACTGTGACTTATATTACATAGATTTTTAAAAACTAGTGCAGAAGGAAATTAAGATACTTGTACTAATAGGTGGACCTCCCATATCTCAAGTCAGCTTATCTGGTAATGATCTATTCCAAAGCTTGATAAACTTCAGTGATATGCTCAGCACTTTTTAATGATTCTCACTAAAACATTCTTTATACACAACAGTATGCCCTCTGCTTCCCCATCCCCTTCTCAGGTTTAGATTAATTTTGAGAGGGAAGCTGAAGGTGGATTAGATAGTAATCCAGTGAAAACCATTTAGAAGGGCACTAGCTTTGATTTAGTAAATAAACTGTCTTTAAAAATCTACATTATTGTTAGCAACAAAATCACACAAATATAGAAGACTAGAAAGGATAATTTTGTATTCAGGAACAAGTCATTTTGAGGAATTAAACAATGATGAACTTTAATGCCAACCAACTTGGGGTTTTACTTAATATCTTCTTATTATGGAGGGCAGAATAGTTTTGTGAGGAAATGGCATGGAGCATGCCTTTGCATATCTCAATATACAGTCTGTCGGTATAGTAGTACTTTCATTTCTTTGAACTACACAAAATTATCAGTATCTGAACATTTAGGACCTACAAAATGGCAATTTCATCTGGTTCAACCTAGCACATTTGGACCTTTATTTTTGCTAAAAAACATCTGAGAAGAAGAAAAAGAATAAATTAGATTATCAGCTTAATTTGTACTCGTAACACTGTAAAAAATAATAATTCTTGTATACATAAAGCTTATTTAATTTGGCATATTTAGTTTATACACTTTTTATTACTAAGAGATTCATAACAGATTCATAACTTTAAGTAACAAATGCTTGCTCAAGCATTATCATCTCTGTAGATGACAAGGTCCTTGTGAGAATGTCATATTAACAATTTTTTTTTGAAATTTAGGGTATAATATTAGCATCAGAATTTAAAAATACAAATATTTATTTTATGCTATAATGTCAGAAAATCCATAAATAGCATCTTTTCTAATTAAATGGCTCATTGTGAAAAGAACCCAAGAAAATAACAAAAATTAATTCAGGAAAAAATATTTCAATTAAAATGCAGGTATTAAAATTTTCTTTGAGTTTGAAGGCAGAGACCTCCTAGTCATCAGTATGTTCCTAGCCTTCTCCTAGCACGTGTACTTTATGTTTTAATATGCTCTTCATGGAGTTCTTGTATTATGTTTTGTATAAAAATGTGATTATGCTCTTAGCGATTCATGATAAATGGAACTTAGGAAGGGAAAAAGCCTAGATAATAGACAAATATTTTAACAGTATATTTGACATTTTATAAATCATAAACTTATACCTGTTTACTTACTATAGCAATGAGATCCTTTTTGATAATGCTTGTTTTCCTAGGACTTTGATTTACATTATTTCATTTAGTTTTAATTTTTTTTACTTGCACTTAATTCAGAACTATACCAAAATCAGTTTTAAGAAAGCATTTCAAAATTCTGCACAGAAAAAATAAATACTAAAAATTTTTCCTTCACTGTAAGTTTAAGCAGTAAAGTTGAAAATTGTATATATTAGGTATAATAAGATACTTTTTATTTATACATGCAACATTAAAGATGCTTCAAATTTTAAATAATTTAAATAATAACTTTATTAAGGTTAGTTCATCTGCCTCAAAATTCATCCTTTTAATGTTTACAATTCAGTGGTTTTTAGTATATTCACAGAGTTGTGTAGCCATTACTACTATCTAATTTCAGAACATTTTCATCATTCCCAAAGAAATCCTGCACCCATTAGCAGTCTAAGATTATAATTATTTTTCAAAGAATAAAACAAACTACACATACTTTTTCCTGAAAACAATACTAACACAAAAACTAAGATAATTTTCATTTCCTACTAGAAAGCAATTAGTGAAAGTGGCAGTTTTCCCTTAGGTATGCTTCTATACAAACTGTACTTAGCAGTTTTGACTTCATGCTTGGGAGAAGACTTCCAAGGGATAATATTATAATAATAATATTTCCTGAAAAGTTTTAGACAATTTGGACTTGTAATTTCTACTTCCTTAAATGTCTTGCTCCCATGTGTACAAAGAATATGATAATTGAGTGCATTAATGACCTTCACCCTTCCTCTACCCAGGGATTTTGCCATGTAACTTTGTAGTACCCTCCCACTCAGCTCTTGAATGCCATATGGTTTGCTTTGGCCAACATGACTTTTAGCTGATACAATACAAGCAGAGGCAAGAGGTGAGCTTGAACTTTTGGGATATTTTCTCTTACCATCTGCCATTGCCATAATTTTTTTTTTAAAGTAAGCCTAGGCTAACCTGTTGTTCCTAGGAGAAGATAAGACACGTGGATCAGAGTAAGCCAGCTCAGCTGAGAGTGCCAGCTATCCAGCCATGGTCAGCCTAGATTGGTCAACAACCAACAGATGCCACCTGTGAAAAAGCTCAGCCAAAATCAGCAGTCTCCTAACCGAATCAGTTCAGAAATGTGAGCAATGGATGTTTATTGCTGTATATGCCTCTGAGCTTCAGTAGTTGTTTGTTACCAAGTATTATGGCAATGGTAAGTAACTGATGAGAAATGCAAAGAATGTGACATCACTTTAGAAAGTCAGTAATTTCTCAAGGTATGGACACCTGTATATGGATAGAATTTTCTTAAATCACCATAATCAAATCCTTTCTTGACATATCTGCAACAGTCATAAACTCTGCCCCTGGCCCAGATGGAGTGAGTTGGTTAGATGAGGGGATTAAGGATTTCCCTTACTCACTGGTTTAAGAGGACACAATATTCCCCCTCAATCAGCAAAATAGGATCAAGGGAGAGTATTGTCTTTTGGAGCTGAAAATATTTTATACAGGAAGTAATCAACACTGAATTAAGGAAGAACTGAAATAAACGCATACTGACATGGGTATTATTTTAAAAGATATCCAACCAAACATGCAGCGTGCTTCAGATAGTTTCACTACATTGACTGACTGAACTTCTGGGGGCTCCAACTGCAGACACATGGAATGAGTGTTCCTAGTGTCGCTTCATATTGTCAGGGTTTGGGTTCTGAGTAATCAGAGCATGGACATACCTTAGGCAACAGACTAAAGAGTCTAACACTAAGTTCCTAAGAGCACAGAGCCTCAAGCTGAGGACACAAAATCAGTTAAGGAGGCCAAAAAACTTGCAAGAATGAAGGTAGGAGCCCAAAATCAGAGTTATGGGCTGAGGAGACCTGGAATCAAAGAACAATGTCTGGAGTAATAAGATACTGTGAGATATTGGCACAAAAAACACTGAAAATTGCATGGCTTTCGTTGACACAACCCTGAGTACTTGATATATGCTAGTTTAAAGTTGCAGTCACTGCTGTTTCTTCAAGTGACATTCCAGTCTCAGTAATTTTTACCTGTGCATATAAATTTGACCATTTGGAAGGCCATAATTCCCACTACTAGATTGGTCTAATACATATTTTAGAACCATCCTGGCCTGAAGAAATGAAGAATAAAGGTAAGAAATTACTCTGAATATGGGCATATTTCTGGAAACTATTTGCCACAGGAATCTGAAGAATGTTAGAATGACCTACCAATTTAAGTTAAAAGACAGTGGAATTTCTAGCACCTGTGGTCAGAACATCTTAAAAATAGGCTGGAGTGGAAAGAGTGCTGGTTGAGAGAGGAGGCAGAATACAGACCAGGAATGGCTGAAGTAAGATGACAGTGGGTAGCAAGAGACAGGCCATCTGAAAAGAGGGATGGAAGGAAACTAGTGAACAACCTGAAAACTACTCTTTGAAACAAAAAAACAAAAAAGAAACCAGTTGGAGAATATGTGTACAAAGGACAAAGAAAATAAATCCAAACTAGAAATAAACTAGACATGACCTGGTCAGTTAGGACAAAAGCTATACTCAGATTTACACTAGAAGAAAACCTTCTTCCCCCAAAGAAAAGAAAGTATAGTTTTCTAGGTCAAAATGGCTGACATTAGATCAGTCACATTAATTCTAATTTTGGTTATGTATGACAGACTAAGCAGATATTTCTGCTCAGAAAGGGCCACTGAAATAATAGATAACTCGAGAAAGAGAAACAGCAAAAGAGAGGACAAATCTGCCAAAGGGCTGGAAGTTGGGAAAGGGCACCCATCAGACATTCCAAGGATACCTGACACAGAATGGATGGAATAGTTGGAAAATGAGTTGGAGAAATCAAAACACTAGTTCTAAGAGTCATCCCAGGGGAGCCTCAGAAAAGCAAAACATCTAAATCAGCAGCATCTCAGAGATTCTTTATTTTCTCAGGTTTCCAATGGATCATATATTGCCCTGATTATTTATTACAAAATGAAAATTTCTTAACATGAATTAAAATATCCTACACTTCGTACCTTGAAAATTCTTCTTTGGGAGTTCTAGCATGGACTCCAGGTCTGTGTATATTTAAATCCCTCAGGCGATTTTGAAGAACATTCTTGGTTTCAAATTGCTGCCTTCCTGAGCGGTTGCAGGTGCTGACTGCTGGGCTCCTTGAATTAAACCAATCAGTGATTTGCTGAGTAATATGTGAGTTTAGGTCACGGGCTAAATATTTTTATTTAACAAGTTGCTTTATGTTGTTTATAGTCCTAAAAATTTTTAATTATGTAGTGTAAAATAGTTTGTATTTAAAGATTTTTATAAGAAAACACATTACGGTTTTGTAGGGTTAGCAACGAGCATTCCAATCTTCATTCTAACTTAATGAAATATATATAAAATTGTATATGTAAACATTATGAATATTTAATATTACATAATATATACTCTAATTAGATATCTATAACACATGTAGTTAGTTATATAATGTCTACTATATAAATACATATTTATACATAAATATAAACATAGATAGATATACTGTAGTTAGAGATCACTATACCAGGTTTTCTGGAGAACAGTTTGGTGATTCATAGCTATGCAGGCTTTACTGTGCTGTTTTTTTTTTTTTAATTGTGCTTCGCCGATGTTGCACTTTTTACAAATTTAAGATTTGTGGCAAACCTGCATTAAGCAAGTCAATTGGCACCATTTTCCAACAGCATTTTCTCACTTCATGTCTATGTATCACATTTTGGTAATTCTCAGAATATTTCAAATCTTCTTTTTTTATTGTATTTGTTATGGTGATCCAAACCAGTGACTATGACTAGCTAAAGGCTCAGATGATGGTTAGCATTTTTTAGCAATAAAATATTTTTTAATTAAGGCATATATATTTTTTAGATATAATGCTATTGCACACTTAATAGACTACAGTATAGTTTAAACATAACATTTATATGCACTGGGAAACCAAAAAATTTTTTACTCACTGTATTGCCATACCTGCTTTACTGCAATGATCTGGAACAGACCCTTCAGTATCTATGAGGTATGTTTATATCCATCTATATCTACAACTATTTCATGTCAGAATCAAATACTTTGTCAATAATCAAACAATTTACCAAAAACCAAAATATTAAATCTATAAAGATAGTGACTTAATATCAAAAATATACAAATAATGAAACTTAGTTTGACACTTGTCAAATAAAAATTAAAAAAATAAACAGTTGAAAAAAATCTATATTTTAAAAAGTTCTAAAAATAAGCTTCCCTATTAATGAATTATTATAAGATATATATAGTATCATAATACAAATATTGATGGAATTGGGTATTCATGGGATAATAAGTTGATAACAGCTTTAGTCTGCCTCATACAGGGCAAAGAGAGGGATGAGTTTAAACTTCTCTGCCCCCCAAAACACACACACACACACACACAAAATATATATCATCAAGGAAAAATAAAGACAGATCCAAAGTGAGTAATCTATTTTAAACCATGAAGGAGAAATTGGAGGTTATGGCTAGGACATAAAAGTTCTATGCATTGTTATTTTCTATTCACTATCAGTGGGCGTTAAACAGTCCTCAAAATGAACAAAACTTCAGATTGCATTTAGACATTAGGAGCTCCTTACCTTCTAACTGCGGTTCACAGGATTCAAACAAGGAAAGCTCTATATAGTGGTGTTACTGATACATATTTCATAGTTGGGTGGGAAATTCTAAAATAGCCAATGCTTCATTTTGCTTTAGAATTGGAAGCTAATAGGTCACGTCTACATCTACATATGAACAATTCAAAGAACTAATCATCAGAATTTACCGAGAGCAAATCATATCATTCCTGGTTTTTCCAGTTCTGTAAAGTGTCCCCCTACAACTGGCTTTTTATGACTGAGTTACAAAATTTAAGATTTGGGTTTAATTTTCTAAACCCCCCACAAAAAAAGCTGTTTCAGTCTTTGCTTTGGAAATCTTATAGGATTTAAGTTTTACTGATAAATTCCTCAATATCTAGGATTTGAGAAGTATGAGGATGCCCCCTTTAACAGTGGATCTCTCTCAGCAATGTTAGCTTATTAGGATCCTGTTTCTCTATCGCAAGGATCAATCTGAATCAGTTGGAAGGCTGGTTAAACCCCAGATTGCTCGCCCAGATCCTGTGACTTTGTAATTCAGTAGATCTGGGGTGGGGCTTGTAAAATTTGCATGTGTAACAAGTTTCAGGTGCTACTATGCAATTAGTACAAGGACAAAACTCTAAGAACCACTGGCTTACAGTATGTGTCCATTAATTTATCAGCTGAAATCACATATATTTGACACATGAAAAATAACTTGTGCTGATTTGATCTATGTTTAGGTCTCCAGTCTCCAAAGAGAAATATGGTCCCATATACTTTACACAATAGATAAAGACATTTTACTTCTAGTGGCAAGTTTAAGTTAATGCCTCTTGTGTAAAATGAAGGGAACATATTATGGATGCTACTGTACTCAAACTAGGGCAATATTTTAGATTAGTAAATTGCTATTTTTAGCTTTTTATGCATTTAAAACTTCAAACAAAAAACTTACCTAAACCGGTCTCCTGGGGCTTTCCACTGACATCTTTTAAAGTGATTCATTTACTGAAGCAGTGCAGAGGTTAATCATTTTGATTAATTTCTAATTAGCTGTACCTGTATTCCAGAGGAAATAATCAATATTATACCATTTGAAAAAGCCAGGCTAAGATCCAGTAGCACTTCTAGAATATATGCAGTTAATTTCTGACAATTCAGTTTATGCACCTCACTGCAAAAAGCTAAATCTCTCTTATTCAGTCACAGCTCATTAGAAAGTTTTGTTTTTGTTTTTGTTTTTAAAATAGTGTAAATCTTTCATCATTTACTTTTATTTTCTTTTAATTTTTTGGAAGAGAATATTGAAAATCACTCATTAGTAATTATTGTTAAAATTATTACTGAATACAATGAAAGACAATCCCTACCGTGTGTTGAATTTTTAAAAAACTCAAAGAGTTTCACTTGCAGATTAGTTGTTTTACTAATTTGGTATACTTAAAGTAGATGTGGGATAATTTTGAAATCTGAAGTTAGTTTACCTTTAAACTAACTTTTGATTCTCCTGCCAATTCAGAATATATATTTTGAGATATTGTTATATCAAATATTATCTCAGAGACTAAGGGGAAATGCCAGAAAACAACAGGATCCCTTTTTTGGAGAAAGGATGTGTTTTTCAGTTAAAAAAAAATAAAATCAACTTAGGACACTTTTTTTTTTTCCACAGCTCTTCAGCGTGGAGAATGAAATCCTGTGAATAAAATCCTGTCAATCATTCCAGTTAAATATTTTAGTGTTAGGGTGATTTTTATTTTTTAAAAATATAACATTTAAATATATTTAACATACAACAGTACACAGTATTTTCCAGTTTTATATAGAACTCCAAAGAAAAAAATCAGAGAATAACAAGATTTCTGTAAAATTTTAAAATATGCTGCAGTAAATGCTAACAAACTCAGAATTAATTATGCCTTCCATAATTAGGTAATAAGCTAACCATGATGACATTCTTACTCAATTCTACAAGAAAGAACACTAAAGATATGACTGGAATAACTTCTAAAACTTCCAAATATTCACCCCGTACTGAAAACCCTCTTTTATATCTGCAGTTCCTACACATTGACAACTCTAGCCTTCTATCATTTCCTTTAATCCAGCCACTGATACTGTAATTTTCGGTTCTTGTTAACAATGCCTATCAACCCTAGCTCAGAAAATACAAAATTCTTCAAAAACTTAGAACAAAATTGGCCAGCTTTATACAATGACCCTTCTGCCATATTGACTAAAATAGTTTTTCCATACATTTGACAAGTCTAGAACTGATATATCATCCTCTATGCTATTCAGTTTCCCAGTAGAAGAGTGCAGAGGTATACGAGAGTTGGCTATAAATTTGTTCTATGTAAAATTCCTCTCCCAGTGTTTCTGAGCCAGCTGATAGGTCTTGTTAAATGTAGAAGCTGAGAGAGCCATTGCTTTGCTGATCAGGTGTGTCGCGGATCAGAATTGTGATGCTCTCCATACAGCAACTCATCAGAAGCAGTGTAACTTTTTTCCCATATCCTTTACATTGCTGGGATTGGGACTTTGTTTTGTTTTAATGAATCTATCTGCACCTACAACTTATGTTAAATAGTTGTAGGATAGAAAAAATGGCTCCCTGCTATCAGCACATCAACCAATGTGATGGACATCAAAACCAAAAATGTATCAGAAGTTCAGGCTTCAATTGATTTTCAGTGGTTTATATCTAAGTAGGATATTAACATTTACAAATTTCATATTTACACAAGTCCAGAAGACTGTAGTAAGTAGGCAGAAGTCTACATGGGAACATGGATTCTCACACTTTCTGAGCTATTTCCCCAGTGGGTCTCATAGGTGCATGCTTAAAGCCAGTAAGTTTCATAAAGCTACTGCTAAAGATGTTACCACATAAAAACTTCCACAGTGACTGATGCTACTTTAGTCTTCGCTTGATTTTGCAATGTGGCAATATGATACTGAGCATATACTGCTGGCTTAGCAACTAAGTCTGTTTCTGAGGAGCTCTTGCTTTCTTTGTTTCTTTGATGAATACTTACCTGTTATCTGGAATCTGGCCAAACCTCTTGGAGTTTGATGAATATATTCCCACACATGAAAAACTGCAAGAGTACTTTATTTTAGAGTAAAAAACATCTTAAACACACTATGCCAGTAAATTTGACAGATTTTCATCTGGATGGGTATAGGCTTGTCAATTAATGTCTTATAATTGAGAGACTAAAAGATATAGAGGCAACTTCTTCACTCTCATCAGAGCTTGAGCGCCTACTTGGGTCCTCACCACAGCTATGATACAAATTTCAAACATCCTAAGTGAACTTCTTCTTTTTCTTTCAGATCCTTTCAGTCACTTGTCTAAAGACTGCAGAGGAGTTGGTTGCTTTGGGTGAACTTAGATAACTTAACATCTCCTCTGACTCCACTCCTTCATGTTTTTCAAAGGAGTCTTATGGGTGGAGACTGTCCACACTCCTGTGGCCACCAGCCCCTCTCTCCACTCAGGGAGCAAACGTCTCTTCCAGGACTGCAGAACTCCAGCAGATCTCTGCTGGATACCACTCCATTCCTTAATTTTTCAAGACAGTTTAATCACAGTAATATGCTATTTATACTAGAAAGAAATTGTATTAGTTGTCTATTGATACATAACAATTTATCCTGAAACCTAGCTTGAGGAAAGTCATTGTATTACTTATTTTTTGATACATAACAATTTACCCTGAAAGTTAGCTTCAACATTTAGTATCTCACACAGTTTCTGGACGTCATGAATTTGGAAGAGGCTTAGCTACATGTCTCTGATGGTGGGTCTCTTATAAGCCACTCATTTGACTACTAACAGTAGACCTCAGTTCCTCAGTGGCTTTTTATCAGTGGTCTTAGGTCCCTGCTACATGGACCTCTTTCTAGTGCTCCTATGACATGGTGAAAGTGAGCCAAGAGAAAAGGGCAAGAGAGAAGGCATGGCCAAGATGGAAACTGTAGTGTCTCTTATTACCGAATCTCAGAAGTGATACTTATTTCTGCTGAGTTCCAATTGCCACTCAGAGTTAGCCTGTAATTTGTGGGGACAAATTACACAAGGACATGGCCGTTAGGAGATGGAAATCATTTAGGAGCATCTTGGAGGTTATCACATCATTTAAACATAAGTTTATGATATTAATATGTCAAAGTTGTTAGACATAATTCACCAGATATTCTGGGAGAAGGATAGAAATTTCAAATACATTATAAACAAAACAGAGGGAATCAATAATTTATTGAATTTGATGAGGAAAAACAAGAAATAAAAACCTAGAAGATACAGAGATTTTGCATCTATGGATAGAACTGTGATGACATGAAACATTAAGAAAGTTGATATGGAGGGAAATTAATGAATTTTGTTCTGAGAATGTTAAGTGTCAGGTGACAATAAGGTACTCAAGCAATATTCAAGTGATGTTTGGAGATTTGAGCCTGTCCCTGAAGAGAGAATTCAGAGATAAGGATAAAGGTCAGGGTGTTATAGACTCTCCAGTAGAGGGAATATAATCTAGAAACAAAGGTGGGGACCAAATAATTAAGGAATAGAAAGAAAAAGAAAAGGAAAGAAAAGAAAAACTTAAATGGATGAAACGGAAAAGGAAAAATCATTACATTTTAGTTCATGAAATCATGGAAAGAAGGAAAGTTCCAACAGGTTCCCAAACATCAGGGACACACATCCCCAAATAAGAAAACTTTCTTCTCAAGCTAAGATGTCAGGATCTAAGCACTACTCACCTCTGGCATCCTGGGTCCCCACAATATCATTAACTGAGATTAATCTTTATGAGTCTTTTACTCCCAGTTTTCAAAAGAAAATAATTTCCTCAAACTTTTAGAGAAGCAAGTAGCAAATTAAATTGGAAACCAGATCGTGTAGCACTCACCTTCTGTCAGCACGTCACTGCTTTCAGCTGTAAAACTGATTGACGCGATTCCAAATGGAAAAAGGTACGGGAGGCTGAATATAAAGGGAAATATTTGACTGTGGATTCAAAATGTATGAGAGGGGAAAATATCTGAATAAATATACTTCTACTTAATATTTATTGAAACAAGCTAAGATACTAACAACGTTTTGATTTAAATATCTTGTGTCTTTTTACGCTACAATACAAAGGGCTGCTATTTATTTTATCATTATTATCTTACAGAAAGTCATCTTACAGAGGTGGGTAGTGAAATTCTCTCTCCTTTT